CAACCGTTCCTAACTTTGGCCCATTGTCAGAACCTCCTAGGAAACTTATTATAAATGCAGATGGCCAAGACCCACCTCTAAGGATTGATTCTGCAGGTCTGAGGGGATGGCGGGGCATCTGTATTTTTAATGAGGTTCTCAGAGAATTCTGATGAACACCAAAGTTGAAGGAAGACTGACCTCAGCTGTCTACAAAGGTACACAGAGTAAACTAGGTGGATTTATAGTCATTCCTAGACATGATCTGGAGGGATGGGGCCCAGGAGAAGGAAGCTAATTCATTCATGCTTTCAGTTAATCATTCGTTAGTTAGTTTTTACATTCAGTCATTCCACAAATGATGGGTTTAGTGGAGGAATGGGGTCAGGGTTCTATCAGTCAGGATGGGCTATATTATGCTGCAGTAACAAACAACTCCACAACCCTAGTGGCGTAAAACAACCAAGGTTTATTTCTCACTCCTGCTGGTTCATTAGGGGCCAACTAGGGCCCCTAACTCCATGTCCCCTCACTCTGGGGCTCAGCTTTCCCAGATACCCTCAGCTTCTATCTCCTTGGCCAGAAATGGCACCTATGGTCACTCCTAGCAACAAAGGAATCTAGGGAAGTACACACTTCAACAGGGCACACCGAAGCCCCAGACAAAATTGGGTTCTGTTGATAAAGAAGGGGAATGGATACTGGATAGGCAACTAGAAGTAAATGATTCCATATGTGTGTCACTGGAGAATGAGAAACGGCATTGTAGGTGTGAAGCCAAAGGCAGAGGACGGATCCAGACCACAGCAGCAATAGCTCGGAGGGCTCGACTGTGAACTTGGCTTCACTGAGCCCACCAAGTTAGGGACTGGCTGAGTGGTTCTCTATGTCATCACAAGATTAACACTAGCAAAGTAATTAAATATGTTTTAATTCTGAATATATATTATTCAAGATTTCTGCCCACAACAGACTACAAATGAGTACATTAGGATGTTGTTTCAAGACCATATTATTAGCTATTAGTGCCTACCATGTGCCACCTTCTGCATATATATATTATCTCTACATTTCACGACAAACTGAGGCTCAGAAGATTGTCCTAGGTCACATAGACGATAGCAGAGGTGTTAGATCCAAACCCAAGCCAGATTCCAAACTTCCCATTCTTTTCTCTACATTATATCAGGTTGCCTCTTCCACTCAGCATTCTTTAGTAATGATAATTCAAAATGACAACGTGTTAAAAACACTGCAGCCTGAAATATTATCTAAGATGCATGTTAGGTGGGAGAGGCAGTGGTAGTATTGATTGGTGCTGAGGATGCTTGCTTGTCAAAGCCCTGTTTTCTGAGTGTGTATTTGGATCCAATCTGTCATTAGAGATGCTGGAAAACATCGCAAAGAAACAAACAAAAAGCAGCCAAGATCCTTTGATGCAGATGTAGCCAATACACTACAGACAGGCAATCTCGGGAAACGCTGGATGCTGTCAATTAAGAAATGAATACCTGTCTGGCCTAAGAATTAGTAAGGCTCTTTGGATGAAAACAAGGAAGCAAGGAGAAAAAGGGCCACACCATGAACATGAATAAGGACCAACAACCTGTCTACCCCAAGCGGATGTGGTGTCTAAATGCAGCCCTGGGCTCTGGAATGCTCTTGCTTAAATAACCGGATCTTAGGTTGGAAGGTTACCAAGGCAACACATAGACTGACTTCTAACCTTGGGGCCTGCTCCCAGCCCCAGGTTCCTAGTCCAGTTCAGTCACACATATGGAAAGCTCACTAGAACACCTAACCCCTCTGTATATATAGTCAATATATTGAGTATATTCTGCCATTTGGTGGAGGGAGGTATCAAAAATCTTGAATGGGGCTTCCCAGGTGGCGCAGTGGTTGAGAGTCCGCCTGCCGATGCAGGGGATATGGGTTCGTGCCCCGGTCCGGGAAGATCCCACATGCCGTGGAGCGGCTGGGCCCGTGAGCCATGGCTGCTGAGCCTGCGCGTCCGGAGCCTGTGCTCCGCAAAGGGAGAGGCCACAGCAGTGAGAGGCCCGCGTACCGCATTAAAAAAAAAACAAACAATCTTGAATGGCCTGATCCTATACTTAGAAGAGCAAATTTCCCATTTACTCATTCATTACTTTCTTCATCCATCCATCTATCATATATTTACAGAGAGCCCGTATGTACCAGACACTGTTCTAGGTGCTGGGGACACAATGATAAACGAAACAGACAATCCATTCCTTCATGGAATTTAGAAGTTAGCAGAGGAGACAGTGGTTAATCAAATAACTTTCCAACCCAAATGTGAATTTGTGACTGTAATATGTTATCAACACTTGCTGAGGACCAGGAATTATGCTAAGTGGATTGCTAAAATGGAACTGAGGCTCAGAGAGGTGATGCAACTTTCCCAAAGTTACACCACCCCAAAGTGATGGAGCTGGGCTTCCAATCCAGTGCCCCCTGATGCAAAAAGCCCACGCACTTGGCTGCTTTTTCACATCTCCCTTGGCAAACTGTGTATCTCATTTCCAGTTTCTGCCCTTTCTCCTTTGAGATCTGGGTTTGGCCTGCAGTCTTTGACATAAAATATTCCAACACCTAATACGTACAATTCACTGGGCTCAGGAAACTTGTTACAGACTAATTTTAACAATAAGAGGCAACAATTATTTTTTCCTAAAGGATATCTGAAAATGAGATCACCGCCTGGGCCAAAACTAAAACAGTATTCTGCATAGAAATTTCTAAAGGTCCTGGATTATTAATACAGCAATGGCGCTCCCTGGTGACAATTATTGTGTATTACATGCTCCTTGACTTGGGGGAGGAATACATTTTGGATATAGTGGAAGCTTCCTACTGCAAATTTGGACGAACAATAAGCCTCCCCTAGTCTTGATTTCCTTAACTCCTCGTTCCCCTGACCCCACCACACCCAATTTATATCAATTCCAGAGGTAAGGTCACAGGTATAGGGTGCAGCCTCTTTTCACAGTTGAGAGTTCTAGCAACTAGGACACAAGGTCCCCATGAGACTGACAAAGGGTTAAACCATTTGCTCCCAATCTCCAGGATCACTGACCCATTTGGTCATGATGGATTAATCCATCATCTCCTACTTTCTTTTCTGAAAGTAGTGGCTACAAATGACACCCTCCTCCACCCACCTCCCCCGCTACACACACACACACACACACACACACACACACACACACACTCACTCTCTCTCTCTCTCTCTCTCTCTGACTCTATCCCATGATTATAGGAAACAGACAAAAATTTACACATCTACTTTGAGCTAGGCATTGAGCTATGGGCTGGGAACACAGTGATGAAGAGCAAGCCGTGGTCCCAGCTCTAAAGCTTACACTGTAGCAGGGGAAACAGGTGGCCAACAAGCCTATAAATTATTCACTTTTGATTATAATAATTGCTACAAGAAAGAGGCTCTGAGAGTCTATACCAGTGAGACAAGACCAGATTAGGTCAGAGGGTCAGAAAAGTTACCCTGGAGAAAGAGAGTAAGGTGTGCTGTGCCAAAATGGAGAAGAGACTGGTCAAAGTCAGGGAGCTTGGAGAATGGACACGAGGCCCAGGCGGTCTGAATGGGGCCTCTCCTGGGGCTAAAGGTGGGTGATGAGTGTGGGACAACTAGGAGGAATAGTCATTAGGTAATCTCCAGGATGGTGTAGTATTACGAGAGAATGTTGGTCATTAACTTAATCTTTGAGGAAGATTTAGCTTGAGTTAAAGGATGACTATAAACTAACATCCCGATTTTCATTTTAAGGGTTAAACTGTTAAATAAAATGGTGGGGTGGAGAGCATCCCAGATCTCTGTCTATTATGCCTCTTCCCAGAAGGCAAGGATATTGAAGAATTTATTATTTACAACCCCTCCACTGCTTATGGAAGATGAGGAAATAACAACAGCAGGCAGAATTGCCAGGGGCTGTGGGCAGGGGTTCAGTCAATAATGGACAAAAGGCTGAATGGAAGAGAGGACAGTGGTGGCAGTTCCAACAGTAAACTGGGGCTACAAAAAAAATCAAGAAAAAAGGCTTACCTTTGATGCCAGCTAGCTCTCAGAATGTAGAACACCTTAGGCTAAACATTGCCAAGATCTGGATTCAGGAAACCTTTGTTCAAACCCTCCTCTTCCACCTCTAGCTATGTGATCAGGGTAACAAACTTTCTGTGCCTCCATTTCTGCCTCTGTAAAATAGCGATGACAAGATCTGCTTTTTAGATTGTGAAGCAGTGTATGTGAAGTACTTAGCATCATGCCTGTAATATTCCAATTACTCAATATTCGTTTATTATTATTATTACTGACAATACTTAATATCTGGAAGGAAATACATAAAATAGAGAATCAGGGAAATGTTTTTACAGCAGTTTTCCATTATTTTTCAATTTTCTAAAATAAGTAGGCATTTCTGTTAAAATAAGGAGGGGAAATACACCCACAATTTCTGAATAAAAGAAATTTGACTAGTCCACTGCTTCCCACATTTCCTGGATCGTATTGTTCAAGAAAGGCGCGGGAATGCATGTTAAAAGCACAGATTCCTAGGCCCCGACCCAGAAATATTGAATCAGAATCTCTACGGGACAAACCTGTGAATCTATACTTTCAATCAGCCTAGCAGACGATTCTTATAATCAGGCACTTTGAGGACGCGCTGATTTAAAGAGAGAGGGCAGTAACGGAGCGAGGAAGGCCAGCCCAGGCTGCAGCAATCACGAGGGCCTAAGCCTACAAGTCCCATACTGCCCCGCAAACTGGAGGCGAGAGTCCGGAGCCTGCCGGGAGATGTAGTTTCCGTCGGCCAGAGCTCTGCATATAAGAAAGCCGGAGATGACGCCGGAAAACCTCCTACCCCACAATGCAGAGGTCGGCGGTGTCGTCACCCGGAGAGCGCCCTGGGTGGGGTGGGCGGTTTCTGCCGCCTCTACCACCACCTCTGCTGCCTCAGAAGCTGCGGTCGTCGCCGTCCCCGCCGCCACCCGTTCCTCCCCCCGCCGCCGCCTCCTTCTCCGGCCCCTCGGCCACCTCTACACGACCCAGGCCCTTTGTCCTTGAGAGGAATCCGTATTCAGTCTCCTTCGGGGGCCCGGGGCGCAGCCATGGCGGAGGGCGGGGGCGGAGGGGGCACCGGCGCGGTGGGCGGCGGCGGCGGCGGCGCCAGCCAGGCCTCGGCGGGGTCGACGACAGGCGCGACGGGGGCCGGTGCGAGCGGCGGCCCCATCAACCCGGCCTCACTGCCTCCCGGCGACCCGCAGCTCATCGCGCTCATCGTGGAGCAGCTCAAGAGCCGGGGGCTGTTTGACAGCTTCCGCCGGGACTGCCTGGCCGACGTGGACACCAAGGTAGATTAGGCCGCCTGCGCTCAGGCGGGCCGGGCTGGGCATGAGGCTGCCAGGGTTGCGTTTCGCATTTCCAAAGGAGAGAGAAAAACAAAAGACGCCTTAAAAATCTCAGCAGCGAGGAGACCGCTTAGGGCAGTATAGGAAGCTTTCTGAGGGATGCCCACGTGGGTTCGGCTCCCAGCCCCATCACTATTCTGTGCGACTTAGCCCAGTCGCATCTCTCAACTTGGGGATCCAACACCGGTTTCACAGCCTGCCTATCTCCTGTCTTTCCCAAGATGGGACTCCTTATAAAGCCCTCAGTAACAAATCTCAGTATGTTAAAAACAGTGGAGAAAACCAGGTAAGTAAGCGTGAATGGTTTGAATGCACAATCATCAGCCTATAAGTGTTCCTTTTCGCTAGCTTAGTGATTTGCAGACTTGCATGCACAGTTAATTAAGGTACATAGCACCCTATTTTGTTCTCCATCACTGATTGAAAAGGATTTGGTGCCTATTTTAGATCCTAGTGCCATAGGTCAACCAAGGCAACAGGTAGTACAATGCTGTTTCACTTTACCTGCTTGCCAAGGTTCATTTGTATACAGTGAAGTCCCCTGTGTTAAGTGTCAGACAAACAGCAGTTGCTGGAATATTCGTTTACTCCCTTTTCAGAAGCTGCTTCAAGACTTAGGAGGCTCTGTTCCTGAATGGGCTGCTAGAGGGAAGTGATTTCTCCTCTCTGAGCCTATCATGGAAATCTTTTGCGTACCTCACAGCAAGATTGTGAGCTTAAAACTAGGCCTAAAAAATAGGAAAAGACCTCGTCCATGTACCCATTAAACATTTATTGATGGGGTTTGTGGATACAGGAACGAGCAAGTCACTACCCAGTCCTCAAAGATTGTATTCTAGGGTAGAAAACTGAAACATAGACCAGATAGTATAAATAGTAAGTGGTGTATGCTGTTATTCTCCAAGATTAAAAACTCAAGGAGAAGTGCTATCCTTGAAATGGGGTATTTAACTTTCCTTGTTTAAGGTTCCCAGGTACATATTGACAGAGCTTTCACCTTTTCCAGTACTGGGTGTGCTCACCTTCCCATTGCAAGTTCTCCACTCATGTCTCATTTGTCTCACTGGGTTTTGCCAATGTAGTATACATTTCTTTAAATCGGTATTGAGAATCTGTTGGGGGAGAATTGGAGCCTTCACCACTTAACACCTCCTTAGATGTTCTTTCTGGTAGTCACCTGGTTGTCTTAATTCTTGAAGATAGTGCGTTTTAGGCACATCCTTTGTTGCTTTAGTCCCATGGTTCTCAAAGTGTGGCCCCTAGATCATCGGCATCACCTTACAACTTGTCAGATTTACATATTGTTAGGCTCCACCCCAGACTACAAACATAAAAAGTGTACTGATGGTGTTTGTAATTTACTTTGCAGTGCATCCAAAATATAAACAAACAGAACAAACTGATAGGTGAAGAAGAGACGGAGATAGTGATAGTAAGTATAATAAAATGTTAGTGGCAGGCACATTAGGTCCTTTCACTTCGTGAACTGAAGGGATTATTCTGTATTGTCAGGGTCTGTTAAGGTTTGGTGGTGACATTAGCTGTCCTTTGTCCTTTTCCCTGTGAACCGTTTCTATCTAAAACTGGGTGAGTTATTTTGAATCGTAGAAGGTATAGTATCAGGATCAATGGTTAAAAGCTACAAATCTAATTCTAACTCCTGTAAGCAAAGGGGAGAATCTGTTGGCTCATGGGATCTAAGGAAAGATAGAATGAACAAACTGCCAGAAGGGTAGGGATGCATTTGGAACCAGGGATGCTCCACTAGGGCTATCTTTCATGCCTATCCTTCATAACTCTTTTAACTGTCACTGCAGAGCAGAGTTATCCATTTGGTTACTAGTATCTGTTGGTTACATCTTACAGCTTCTTCCTCTAGAAACAGCTCCAGTTCAGAAAATCCCAGGAAGTGTCTGCATTGTCTCAACATGGGTAGGCACCCACCCCTGTAGCCAGGAGAACATGGCACCCACTGCCCTACCCACAGTAGTGGGTAATGAAGAGGGGAAGATGATTACCAGGAAACAGGAGTTGCTAGGCAGACAGTACATGGATATCTGTGAATTTTAGTCCTCACCCGTCTCCCTGCCTTACTCTCTCCAGGTTTGGTGGAGAGTCTTTATGTCTATGAGTCATGGCCTTTGGGAAGAGCCCATTCATGGAGTTGAGGCCAGTTGATTCCTTTGTCAGTTTCATTTACCTGTTAGCAGACTTTTGTCACAGTAACGCTACATAATAAACCAAATCTCAGTGACTTATAACAAGCATTTGTTCTCATGCTGATGGGGCTACAAGTCAGCTAAAGTTCCTCTGATCTAGATAGGCTTGGTGCTCAGCTGTAGGTGGCCTGGGCTTGGGTCCGAGCTGTGGGTTGGGGTAGGTCTGCTGCACATGTGCTCATCCTAGGTCCCAGGCCAAATGGACAGGGGCTGCAAAGGACATACCCTCATCAAAGGTCACCAGAGTACAAGAGCCAAGCCAGGTGGCACAGCCACATTTAGGACCTCTTGTCACTAACACTCCGTTGGCCAGAGCAGGTCACACTGCTAAACGCAGTGTCACTGGGGTAGGGAAGTATTCTCTGCCCACAGTGGGAGGAGAGAGGAGTGACGTGTGAACAGCGGCGCACACTCTGCTGCACCTGGTTTGGGGAAGAACAGCTAGTGGTGCCAGAAGGTCTTGGAGGCTTAGAACATGCCTTCCTTATGTTCACATGGATTCCTTGTGTTCATCAAGTTCCTTTCTGATTTTGTTCTGATCCTAGTTGGGTCTAGAACATTTGAGACCAATAAGTGCCTCTCAGGCTCCTTTTGGGACTAGAAGAGGATGCTTCCCTTCAGCCTTTCCCAGTGTTCCATAGGCGTTGACTTCAGTCTGCATTCATGAGTCATGCTGAGGGTTGGGTGGCCCTTCATTTTATGCGGAGAACTTTCCTGAGGCCTTGCTTGTTGCCAAGAAGACCCTGTGAGGTAAGCAGGGCAGTAATATTTGTTTTACAGACGGAAATAACTGAGACTCAGGTTGGCTGACCTGTCGAAAGTCAGAGAGCTAGTAAGCAATGGAGCTGGACTAGACCCCATTTCCTTTGATTTGGAAACGGCCTGGGTCTAACCTTGGCTTTGCCACGTTTTAGCCTTGTAGGCAAGTTGTTTACTTTTTCTAAGCCTGTATCCTCTAACATGAGAGCAGGAGAGAGCCAATAGGACCTCCCTCGTAGAGTTATTTGAAAAGTAAGTGGGGTAATAAAGCATCTGGCATTGTAGCAGGCACACATGTTGGTCATTAATCCATGTTCTGCCATGCTGCGTGATGATATTCATGGACACGATGGGAGTGTATTTAAGGACCTGAAATTCTGCATTTCAATGAAGAGCAGTGTTCTGAATGACTAATCTCCAAAACTTTGGTGCATTTAACTTCTGACCTTGCCCCTTCTTTTTAATATTTTAGCCAGCTTACCAAAACCTGAGGCAGAAAGTGGATAATTTTGTGTCAACACATCTGGACAAGCAGGAGTGGAATCCTACGATGAACAAAAACCAATTGCGAAATGGTCTGAGGCAGAGTGTGGTTCAGTAAGTAAGCAGAATTGAGAGTGAAAAGGCAGTTATCACAAGCGTGACTCGCAAGAAGGCCAATGAAAGGCACTATTTGGTCAAGGTGCATGGTACTTTCCAGCAAATGTGACATACAAGTTACAGCAGACCCCGCCCCTATTAAAATTAAGGTTCAAGTAAGCAAAGAACTCAATTGAAATTCTTGCTATCCACATAGGCCTCCCATGCACACCTCTACCAGGAAAGATATTCCAAATTGTAAGACATATTTCATACTCTTTGAAGTTTTCAGTGTAATGTGAACATACGCTGGAGTTCATACCGATGTATCAATGTTTGAGTCTTGGGCAAGAGCAGCTGGATCTTCTCACAAGTCAGTGTGGGTTATACAAATTTTCTGAATCCACACGGCCCCTCTAAAGTGTAATGGCAGCTTTCAGGAAGGCATGGAGTCTTATTAAGGTATATTCTTCACAGTAGCAAACTGAACCTTAGTTAATGAGGTGCTACTGATCGCTCATCCAAGTGACTTCTCAGTGTCACTGGCACAAAAGTGGTGGTGGCTCATGAAATCCAGTGTCCTAAGATAAGCTTTTTCTAATCCATTCAGAATCCTTTTTTTGCTCCTCATATCAGCACTTATGTTCAGGTTTTCTTGATCCACTATCTCTCCTGGAATATCTAAAAGCTTGTGAAGACTTCCCCTTTAAAAACAGAAGTATCAGGGAATTGTGCTGAGTGAAAAAAAAAACCCAGTATCAAAAAGATAGTGGCGCACGATTCCATTTCTGTAACATTCTTGAACTAACATATAATTATAAGGATGGAGAATAGATTAGTGACTGCTAGGGCTTAGGGTCAGGGTGGGGGGGTGAGTGTGGCTAGAAAGGAGTAGCATGAAGGGGGTGGGGTACAGGTGAGTATCTTAATTGTGGTGGTGGTTACGTGAAGCTCCTCATGATAAAAGTTGTGCAGAGCTACCCACGCCGACGCACATGAGTGCAGCTGGAACTGAGATGTAACCGAGGTCAGGAGAGTACCCGTGCTGGTTTTCTGGGTTTTTGCCCCCACCCCCTTTGTTTTCGGAGGTATAATTGACACACAGCATATTGGTTTCAGGTATAATTAGATTCAAACATAAAGGTTCATTCAATATTTGTATATATTTTGAAATGATCACCACAGTAAGTCTAGTTAACATCCATCACCACATATAGTTACAGAATTTTTCCTTTTTCCTGTGTTCCTGGCTTTGATGTTGTACTGCAGTTGTGCACAGTACAAGCATTCGGGGTGGCTGGGTAAAGGAGTGCGTGGACCTCCCTATGTAATTCCTTGCAACTTTCTATGGATATATAATTTCAAAATAAGTTTTGTAAAATAGAAAAGGATGCTTATTAACAAGCTGGCACTTTCAGTATGGCTGTATGGCTGATGAAATCTGAATCTTTTTAAACGAAACTACAATTTACAGAAGCTCTCAGAGTTAGGGAAGAAGCATGATACCGAAAGATGCCCAGTGCCGTGTCATTCTGGATTTATCACCCATTGCCTTTCTGTTTCTCTAGGGAGCAGACTGTGGCACAGGGATCCTTCAGAGAGAAGGGGACGATAGCCTCCACTTACTGAGCAACTATTTCATGTCTGGCACTGGTCCCTATATGTGTTATTGCTAATCCTTACAAAAAACCTATTTGACAGCTGCAGTAACAAATCAGATGAAAGTTTTTTTTTAACCCAGCCTTCTAAAAGATTGGCAAGCATATTAAGAAACTAAATCAAAACACCAAATATTTGAAAGGGTGCCATTAGTGGTATGAAAACTGTCAACATTACTGTTAATTTCTAATACACAATGATGTCATTTTTGAGGTATGCATGTGGCGCTTCTCTTTATATACCTTTAATATGAAATGTAACACAGAAAGGTGCTTAGAACAGAGATGCAGTATAACAAGTAATTAGAACATCCCTGTAGTCACCACCCAGGTTGAGAAATAGAACGTACCAGCACCCTCCAAAACACCCCGGCCCTGCTTCCCTCCTTTCTTGATACACCTTCCTCCTCTCAGAAGGTTACCATACTTCTGAGTTGGATGGTCATTCTTTCCTTGCCTTTTTTTCATAGTTTTACCACCTATGTAAATATTTCCTCCTTTTTGATTTGATCTAGAGTGTATTTAACCTGAAAACATGAATTTGGATGTAATACGGAGACACTTCTGTGTGATTCTTGCTAACATTTTGAATTTGAGGCAAATTCTAATGAAGTTTTAAAGTGAAGATTTGCTACTTAACCCTGTAGATGAAACACTGCAGCCCTCAGCATTGGCTGGCTGGCCTGGCTGTTCAGGCCCAGAATCTGTATCCCAGTTCTGCAGTGTGGAGGGCTTAACAGGAAATCAGCCTCTACTGTTGAACCTAATGATGACTGATAAGTCTTTTAACTGCATATTTGTTCATTTCATCTTCCATTTTAGGGTCCTGACAAGATCCTGTTTTCTCCGAACACTTTTAAAATCTCCAAGAAAGGGAGCTACACTCTTGGTACTTTGTTTTCCTTGGTCAGGCTTTCACCTCCAGTTAAGACCCCTGTGAATCTGACCTGGGAAGCGGGGTGGTGGACAGCCGTTGGCTTGTGCCTACGGAGAGGTGGCTTTGCTTCCCCACTGACCCATGGCCTGCTGCTGACCTCTCTGTGTTCCACGGTGCTCATCTCTAAGGGCACACGTTGTCTATTGGGGTCTGCCCAAAAGTGCCCCTGTATTCTAATGGTGGTCTGTTTACATCTAGACTTTCTGTTGATAAGCTGTCAGTTCCCACTGGATCTAGGAAGCACTTTATTCACTACTCAGCCTAACCAGTTCAAGGCCTGTTTCTCATCTCACTCATCACTGTGTGTGTTCACCCAGTTGTCTCCTGGGCTGTACCCTGACACACCATTTGCCCCATTACTGCAGGACCTACTTTTACCCAAGCAAAAGCTTGAATGGCCTAAGAACTCAAGTCTAAAGGAAAGTAAGTAAAACCTGTCCACCACGCTTGTGATGGTATTTGACTGTTTTAATCCTTTGAGGAGAACAACTCAGTTTGACCCTGCATGGACTATTTTCCAAACTCTTCAAAGGAGATTTGTTTCCTATGACCATAATCTTCCTCGCTACCCACCCCTGGTGTTTGAATATAGACATCTTGACTAATTTTTGCTCTATTTCAGAAAGGATTAGGGATGTATTTTAGCCCCTTAGGAACTGAGAACCAGTCTGTTTCTTGTCTGTTTACTTGTTTGCATCCAAGTTACCTAGTATGTGTCATAGGTAACAACCACAGCCGAAGGCCTTGTTGAATTGCTGGTGATGCTGTAAACATTCCCAGCCCTGACTGATTTGTGTTATATAAGATTTAGGGCTTACTAGCCAGGTTGCTGCTGGAGGCTGCTTCTCCTGCTTTGACTTGTGAGAGGATAGATATTGAAGGAAATGGAGTCAAGTGGGAGGCTTACTGGCTTTGACAGATTGAGGTTTTCAACTCTCCCCGTGCCGTCGGTTCTTTCCTACCGTATTGTTACTTGCTCTTTGTCTTTGGGACGGTTTTGTTTGGTTCTTTTGTACAAGGTTGAGGTGGGAGTGGATGAGATTGTGAATTAGGAATAATGATAGCTGCTGGTCATGAATTGCCCTCTAAAGATATCATGGCTTGAACCCTACGTGGTAAGTGGACCGCCCTGTGAAAGAACTCCCTCAAGGGGCTGTACTTTGGACCAGGTGGACATTTATTGGGCTGTCTCATGACACTTGGAGGCTAAATAATGGAATGATCTATTTGTCTTCTCAAGGTCAGGGATGTTGGAAGCTGGAGTGGACAGAATTATTTCCCAGGTGGTGGATCCCAAACTAAACCACATCTTCAGGCCACAGATAGAACGAGCAATTCATGAGTTCCTGGCAGCCCAGAAAAAAGAAGCTGTGCCAGCACCCCCTCCAGAGCCTGAAAGCCAGGACCCTCCAGCCCCATCCCAGGATGCTTCCTAAGGTCCAGTATCTCGTGTTTTTTTTTTGTTTTTTTTTTTTTTTTGCGATACGTGGGCCTCTCACTGTTGTGGCCTCTCCCGTTGCGGAGCACAGGCTCCGGACGCGCAGGCTCAGCGGCCATGGCTCACGGGCCCAGCCGCTCCGCGGCATGTGGGATCTTCCCTGACCGGGGCACGAACCCGTGTCCCCTGCATCGGCAGGCGGACTCTCAACCACTGCACCACCAGGGAAGCCCCAGTATCCCGTCTGTTGTCCAGGAACATTTCACCTCTGGCTTATAGATATAGAAAATGGATAGAAAAGGGGTAAGCCGTTATTGAGGGTCATGTTTCTTGTCTATTCAGAAAAGTATTTACTGCAAATGGATTTCATTTTGTTATGAGTCATTTTTTACTGAGAACTAATTAGTAATGTTTTCCTATGTCTGTGAGTATGATTTTCTGTGCCAGCAGAGCTAAACGTTTAAGCTGTGAATAGATGTTTCATTAGAAACCATCTGGGATGATTGGCGTGCACAAGGCAAATTCAGATGAAAGTCCTGTTGTTCTGAAATTGTTTAAATGAGTCTCTCCCCTGGACATGAGTTAACTTGGGTTTACAGTTTATATATAAAATCAAGCAATGCATTCTAAAGTGGCATCCTAAATGGGGCTCAGAGTCTGCTTTAAGCCCTGCTGGATTTCCTTGTATTTAGTAAGGATTTCAATTCACCACTGTCGGTTACCATGGGATTCTTCTGTTATGAGCACTCCTTTTTTTTTTTTTTTTTTTAACATTTGAAATTTAATTTTAAAAATCAGCTCTAGATGCACAAAACAATGCTTTTTGCAGAGCTTGGGAGACATTAGTAAACATAAGTAGCAATCACCGAGTAAGCAGTGGCGGACTCAACTCAGCCATTGTTGGTAACCATCAGGGTGTGCCTCATCCCCTCATTCTACTTCAGTGTTCTCTTTGTAAGATTCTTTAAGATGTCTGTTGCTTTTGATAAATAAAATAAGCATCAGTGAGTGAACAAAGTGAGAACATCAGACTTACATGGGGCACTCGAGAGAAATTGTCCCTTTGTACCTATCTATATTAGGAGAAGACCTCAGTTCCATTATGGAGTGTAAAACATTCATTTCAAGTCTTTCTTTCTAGTTTAATTCCTTTGGGGGACATAAAATTAAACATAACACAAAACTAACATTTTGATATGATTATCTTTTCTTTTTAGAATATGCCTGACTTGTTTTGGAAGCTCCATTGAATTAATGGTGAAGAACTGGATTCAGTTACATAAGAGTACAACTTCAGAGTGAAGACAGGCCAAGGTCATCACTGACTTCACAATTCAACGTTGACCGTGGGGCGGTGTCCAGATAAAGTAGGGAGCAAATGGGCCAGTAGGAGAGTTGACCATGTGGGCCCCACGTCGTGCTGCCGTCTGGCCAGCCTGTCCAAGGGGTGACACCCACTAGACACTACAGATACATTAAGAAACACTACATCAACTTGGGGTTGTCCTGAAACAAACCTCTGTACTTGAACTTAGAGACTGTGTATGAATTTTAGGGTTTGTGCTTGGGGATAAGCAACAGCTACAATGAAGGCACATAACCAGTCCCAAAGATGCAATTTCAAAGAATGACAGTAAAGGTTAGCCAGGGGTAGGTATTTGACAATGCTTATTTGATAACTGTTTCTCAGAGTTTCAGATAAGAGTGTACAAGCCATTAGCATCAGATAGCTTTAAGGTTGTTGTGACCCTCTTGTCCATGACTCTTCAGCTTCTATTTCCTTTCCCCTGTAAGAGGTGTCAAAACATGGGACCCTAGAATGCATGAGGAAATGTAGACTTAGGTATAAGGAGAAATATTTGCAGGCTCTCTGTCCAGAGCTTCTTCCTATCCTGCAAGGGCTAGTGAGTCTTGGGTGTGTTTATTTTATTCTCATGTTTGTGTTTTTTAGAAGGTGAATAATAAGTGGCTTAAGTTTTGTAATTAAATCATTTGATACTCTGAAGCTTCGACTAATTCTTAGACCCCAGGTGCGCAGTGTAACCTTTGTCCTCGGCCTGCATGGCATTCCTGTGCACAACACGACTTAATGGCAGTGAAGGACTGGTAGACATGCCTTGGAACTACGGCCGTCCTGCAGCTAGTGGGTGTAGCTGGAAGTGAGCAAGGCGTTCTTCCCTTCCCCGGACTGTTCCTGATGCCAGTCTTTAGTTGAGCATAGTGTGCTCTATCGGTGTTTCCCAAACTTGTTTGTGGAAGTGTCACCTGGGGATTTTAAGAAAAAAATGCATATTCTGATTCAGAAGTTCTGGGAGGACCTGAGAGTGTTTCTGACAGGTTCCAGGTGATGACTCAGCATATTGCATCCCAAGCCTTGGATGATATCAAAAATTACTTCAAACTAAGTGTCTTTTGTTCTTAGTTGAGTCTACTCCTGGATATTGTTACTCAAACTTTAACCTGTTTAGACTTCCACCTTTACCATCAATACCTGTAAGTTAGGACTGCACTTCCATATTTAGCAAGGTGTTTGGGCAACATGTGCCCTTACTTTAAAGCAAGCTGACCACGTGTTTAGGGCAGGTGGCAGTTACTTCTGAAGTGTGTTCTGCTTCCAGCTGAAAAAGGTTGGTGTCCTTTCCAGTTTGGGGTTCAACTACCAAGTCCTCAGTACTCAGAGAAGGGCCCCTCTAGTCCTCTTCACTCCACTAATAGGTAAACATGGAATGACCAGTCTTACCAGTCCTGTGCTCTGCAAGGAAGCTTCTCAGACTAGTATCCCTTCTTCAATACTATGAGCCTCCTTCCCTGGGAGGCCTCTGCCACCGGAGGGAGGCCTCAGCAGAGCCCCTTTCTGTCAACCCGGCCAAAATCCTGCCCATCCAACACTGATCTCGACCCAGTGACAGGGCAGAATAGAGCAACCCAGAGAAGGTGTCCGTCTGCCCACAAATGCCCAAGTGACTGTTGTGTATGCTTTTTGGAGGACAGTTTTTGGTCCATCTCAGTTCTCTTTTTTTTCCATTACTAGAGAAGGGTGTACCAGTTGATGAGAAACACCCTAATTTTCACAGAATGTTAAATATGCCAAGATACTAAGGAGTTTTGTTCTTTTTTTTAAAATCAGTGTTATATCCACTAAGTCACTGTAGACTAGAGATAATTTTTTCAAATCAGATTACAGGAGTAACTAAACTCATCAGATTACAGTAACTAAACTCATCAGATGACAGGAGTAACTAAACTCGTCACTACTGTTGGGACAGAGGGCTGTCTTTGACTCTTAGCTGAGCCAAATTGAAATGGTAGTAGTGCCCATATTCCCTTGAGTAAATGTAGTTAAATCGGCAGGCCGGGAAGATGAGACCAGACAAACAGCACCAGAGGGGCCGGGAAGCCCAGAGCCACCTCTGCTCTCTTCCTTCTCTCCCGCGAAGCCTGTTTGCCTTGTCAGTGGAGTCCTCATGCTTGTGTGTTAGGTTAGGCATGCAGAGCCTAGAAAATTCGTGTGTTCTGAGATAAAGTAGAATTCCTCCCTGAGGAGGATGAGGCCACCCAAAACTATCTCATCCCGAAACACCCTTGCTATATTCACTCCTAAACGAGAAACTAATCTCGGACCTCAAGGCTTCTCTCCCTATAGTTGGAAAAACCACTGCCATTTGCAAAAGCCTCGCGAAGCACAGAACTAACCTTTGTAAGACATCACCAAATATTACCGACCTTTAGAAACCATCAAAGCCTTAGAGTCACGGTGATACGAAGAGCCCCATGCTCATTTTTGTAGTCCACTTCTTTGACCTGGGGCAGTGTCTACAATTACTACTGGAGACGATTACCCCCAGCACGTTCGCAGTTACTAGCCTAAGTGCTTGACTGGTATTGCCAAACAACCACCATGTCCACCTAGTCATGACTGTCTTAACTCCTTCTTGGCTTGTAGTGAAGTCTGTGGCTCCTAGATCAGATTTTCAGTCGTCGTTTTATCCTATTTCTGTTGTTTAACTTCTGTTTACTCATCAGGGGATGGATGTCGGGATTCCCATGCATTCTGTAACACTCCTTAGCACTGTGGACTGAGTAAATAATAGCAGATTCATTACAGCAGTGCTTCTGAAAGGGTACCACCCAACCACCAGCAAGCAGCATCTGTATCACCCTGGAACTGTTAGAAATGCAGCCCTGATCCCAGATCTACCGATTCAGAGACTTGGAGAAGGGGCCAGCAAGCCTTCCAGATGCTTCTGATGCACACTGGAAATCATTTTCACTTTAGGAAAACTTTGGCAAGTCAGTGATGCTGACTGGTAATGATGGTTTAATTATATTAGTGGATAAACATAGTGTCTACATAGTGTATAAAATCAGTGTCTCTTCTGCTCCTGAGGTTCAAGACTACCATCTCTCTCTCTTTCTTTTTTTTTTTTTTTTTTTTTTTTTTTTTTTGCTAATTCTCCCATTAGTCCCTTGCAAGGACTGTGTGTTTGGCCATTTTGGCTTAGAAATGTCCGCATGTAATTTAAACCTCCTTAGCTTTCAAAAGCTATAAGCCATCTTCTGAAGATGAGTTTGCTAAGCAGCTCAGAATTTTGCCAGGAACTCTGCAGAAGGGCCTTCAGTGGCTCCTGAAGTTAGAGGAGAGATGTGCAGGGACCCAGCAAAGGTCGGCCTGGCTGGTGCCTGAGGCCGGCACTGAGGTTTGGGCTCGAAAATCCCGTCTGGATCAGCAGTGGCAAGAGGCCAGGCTCTGGTGGGAAGCAGACAGGAAAGCTGGCGCAGCCAAGCTTTCTTTAGCACTGCGCGTTGCACACTGTCCATCACCTCACCCGTGGAGGAGCCAGGGGGTCAGCTTTTATGGTCTTGTCCCTGGGGATGGGCTCAACTCCAAGGCCGTGCAGTAATGATTACCTGTGCTCTCAAACTGGTCACACTGCCTGAGACCTAGCCAGTCCTTCTGACTCCAGTCTCCAAGCTGCCATTTGGCCATTCCTCCTGAAACACTGCTTTCATCAAGTATCGTCCTCACTCACAAACCTTTGAAAGGAAGAATCAAGTGAACTAGGCACCTACGAGGTGGTAGACATTTTCGTAGGCACAACTTCATTTAATTCTCATGACCCTGTTAGGTAGGATCTATCCTCCCTTTTATGGATGAGGGAACCAAGACTCAGAGAGGTGAAGCACCTTACTCATTACACAGCTATTAAATAGGGAAGCAAGGTTTGAAGCCAAGCCTCTCTGGATTCAAAGCCCATATTTCCCCGTCCGCCTCGCTGTTTGCTACTCTGCCGCCCTATTAACCGAACAAGTTCCAACTTGTCAGTCCTCCGGGGTCCTCCCTTCATTCCAAAGGTAGCCCCAAATCAAATCAACTTGACCTCCTTCTGCATCTCAACACATGCCCTTAGTTCTAGCCAGTCTTTGCTCCCCTCACTCAAGTGCATGTCACAGGGCAGAGTTTGCCAACTGACAGGCTGCTCTGCTGTGTCCTCTAACCATGTTCTATTGGCCAAGGAGTTGTGACTGTTGTCTATTAATTACCAATATTTTTAAATGGGGAGATTTCCATATAGATCTGTATTTCTGGCTCCTAAAGGAAAACGTCAAGGTTTGGAAACACTTTCATATTCCCACTGCATAACAATCAGCCCAAGTTTGATAGCAGCTCACCATTTCAGATGAGTGGGACATGCAGATGCCACTGGCTGGTTTCACCCATCTCCATCACCCTGCTGGCCCCTGAGGACATTTGAGTTGGAAATACTTGCCCTAGAGGGTCATTATCTTGTGATTATTTTAAATTATTCAAAAACATCTCTTTAGCTGTCTTCTAGACCTTAATTTTCCATGAGACTAGATTGTTAAGCTACCCGATTTTGGTTCTAGAATTTTCAAGATAGGGAGGGGTGCCTGCGGTTCCCTCACATCCCTGTCTGGGTGTCTACATAGAACCACCCGAGGATGCATGAGGGTGACAGGATGTAGACAGCATGGAGAGGCGGGTGTGAGGTACAAGGAGGAAGCAGGCAGAAACCAGCACCCAGTGTTCTCAGAAGCCTCTCAGAGGTTCCCCAAGAGGCAGTCTCCCCGAGCCAAGGCCAGAAGGCGGCTTATGTGTGGAACTAATCAGTGTATGTAGCTTAACGTTTTGTAAATAAGAGTGAAGGGTAGCAGAATATGCCGCTCCAAACCATGGCAATGGGAGTTGAGGACATGCCTCCACAAAATAAGCTGCTTTAGTACACTGATTACTTTGAGCTGTAGGCCCTTGAAAAAGAGCAAATGCAGGGAGAGGCTTTCTCTGAACTCCTCTTATCTGCCTAAAGACAGATCCTCCAAAAGGAACTCAGTTGTCATTGAGGGCCCCCTCTTTGGGTAATTTGATTGATTGATCCAGCTAATCATCTTATTTATTTAAAGGAATAATGCTTGTATGTGGGAAGACATCCCAAGGGTACAAATGGGTTTAACAGGAGAAGTTTTCCACCGTGTCCCTCCAGGCTCCCAGATACCCTCGCTGTTACCCGGTCTATACAGACCTCTCCAGAGACAGTCTGTGCATATATAAGCATGTGAGTTTTCATATCTGTCTTCAGCTGGGACACACTCCACCTCTCTAACTGTCCACAGAAGTTCCTAGGAAGGGGAAGAGAGTGGGCTGGGGGCTGAATAGTCCACAAGTCTTGGAGGTGGGAGGAGGGGTAGTGGGGAAAACGGCAGCCGCCCTGCGGAGTTACGGAGTCAGTGATGCGTAATGATCAGAGTAAGAGGAGGTAGTCTGTTTTGAGAACTTGCTCTGTGCTGTCCACTACAGCCGCTACATGAAGGGCTTCCCCATGGGGTCTCTGACTCTGCACTATGAAGACAGTGTCCTTGTCACCAGTAACAAAGAAAGAAACAAGTACTCACCTGAGATCTCAGTAACAAGCGTCAGAGCTGAGAAGCTGTTCACCTCCAAAGCCTAGCCTTTTTTCCCCCTCCAATTTCT